CACATTCTCGAAGCTGCCTTACAACCATTAACTGGTTCCAGTACATAACTTCGTTTTTTCTTCAAAAACAAATAATTTTCCTTTTTTAGACCCTATTCAATGCAATGTTTCATTTGGCTAGTCCTTTATTATTGAAAAAATTAAATTATGCGCTAGAGAACGAAAATTCTTACTGTTTCAGGAGGTCTAGCGATACGTTTCGTCGATCAATCCAAATATGGTGATTCAGCATTGTTCGTACTACTTAAGGACTGTATCAATCTACTGTTCAATATTAACTCCTTTGCGAACCCAATGGTAGGCTTTCTTAATCAATGTTTGTTCTTTTCCGTAGGATTGATGGCTTTTGAGTAAAACCTTCTACTTGGTCTCGTTCCTTATCCAGTGCTTTCATGGCGCTGCCCTAATCCACTGCACTATCAAAAATCCGCCTGACTTTTCGGTATATACCAGCAGTGGTTAGAGAAAAATCGAGCCGAACCGAATTGAATAGTGTGCGATGCCTAGAAATATATCAAGTCATAATGACTAAAGCCTCTTGACAATGATCCGCTTTGTTTTGGAATACGCTCCGCATTCGACTTCAATTCAGAATCGTAGAAGCGTTCTGAATGTGTGTGTGTGTGTGGCTGGCCTATATAATGACTTTGCAGGGCCTGTCGATTAATAGTCAGTACTTTTCTCTTCCCAAACGAGTCTGGTACTTTAGACTACCCATAGGGAAGAGGGAAGGCAGTTCTGTTCCTGGATTAAATCTCTGGGTCATGTATGTGATAGTGCGCCACTCGCCTTATCTAAAAATTCTAAAAAAATTCGAATTTTGTCAGATTATTGAAAAGGAAATATTTTAAGTGTCTATACTGTCCTTATAAACGCGTATTACAGCTATACTTCCTCTTCACACGGCAGTTTCGAGATCTACGTGTGAGTTTTCGACATTTTACGCCATCGAGGTCCGGATCGCTGCCTGTCAATGTGAATCGTGGTTCTACCTGCAAGTTCGTCTCTATCTAAATCTTTCACTATCACCGCAGCTTCGGCTGTCTAACTAACCCTCACAGCACCTAATAAGACTCTTCTCCAAAGTTCTCTAACCCATATCCATCCCCATTGTTGTTATGGCGTGATACTTCGTAGAAAAAGCACTCACTACATACCGTAACACTCTGTTACGGTTGTTCTAACATTTTACTTTCTACTATAACATTTTTAATAAAATCGACTATGATTTTAGACCCATCGCAGTGAGCGTCCGAGGTACTACTCAGCTCCGCCGTTATACAGACATGGCGTCGAAAAACCCTTACGATGAAGATGTATCGGATCGAAGCGAAAGCCTTCCTATATGGCCATTGACGCCAAAGACAAGTCTGACAACCGATAGACAATATGTCGATCCATAGTGGCAAGGTCGCGCCACGAATCAACCAGCGATCGGCATTCTCATATCATTTGAAACGGGTATTGATAAGTACATGAAGTCTACAAAACGGGATTCTCAGCATGAGAACTATTTTTGAATTGAGCTCTCCGAAACTGGTTTGTAATTTTGTACTGTCATCGATTTTATGAGAAAAAAAGCTTTAGGAATCTGTTGTGTTGACAAATAAGGACCGTCACTATGAAGTTGGGGTCGTTAAATGAGGGAAAGGCACCACCAAATCGGCGTGACGTCGCGAATTTTCCGCGTGCGGCGGCGATGACCTTTCGCGGCAAGATGAGCCCTACGTGCCATTTGTCGCACAAGTATGTCGCCAGCACCAGTGTGCAGAAAATTTGTGTTCTGACCTACTGGTACACACCCACAGGAGAACGTCGTGCCTGAGACGCGTGCGGTCGCGTCAGCTCGAGGAAGTATCACCAACGTCGACTCTAACATAATGTTCGTCCAGTAAAAAAGCGTGTTACACATTTACAAATGGCTATGATATCAGGCTTATTACTATCTCATTACTGCCATAAGTTCTTTCGAGGTACAAGTAATTTTGTTTAGGGCTCTGACTGTTTTTTTTGGTTTTTTAACTGTTTTCTTACAAACATTTTTTTTTGATGAAAAAATGCGGTTGAATTATTGTGTTCTGTTCCTCCCACATTTCTACGGATATGATGATAATCTCTGATATGTGTTTATGATATAAAATCTTTTGATTTTATCTTGTTACATTGTCATTAGAAGCAAATCAAAGTGTGCAGGTTCAGCTGGTGCAGGTGAGTAAGAAGGCAAGAACCTGTCTTTGACCAATCCCCAGTACTTTTGTCTTGCTTTTACCGACTGAATGGTTGTTGACCATATGCGGCAATATCTTTTCAATCAGAAAAACACGATTTTTTCTATCTTCCCTAAAATCTCAATATGAATAACAAAATAATTGTGTAGATAAGTTGTTGGCTACCATGATAGTACTGCAGTACTTTTCAGGTGTTTGAGGTGCTACAAATAACTAAGTTGTGCAACCTTGATTCTGTTTATACTCTCTTTCTCCCTCCCTGACAATCGTTGATGTCGAGATAGGTGTACTTGGCCGGATTTGGATGATTCACCTGCTAAAGATAAAATACTACTCCTGGCTAAGTGTTCGATGTAGCCCAGACCCCTCACAATCCCCCTGCACCGTCAAATTCATCATTCCATTACATAACCGAAGTACCGTACCCATTTCTTTTACTTTCGACAGCTAGTGAATACTTTTACTTTCAAATAAAACAAATCTACCCTTCTGTCTTTCGGAGGTACAGTCCTCGATAGAAATGGTTTCTTAGACTTTGTACTGGTAGGAATCCTTGTCCACCCACCAATAATAGTACATGGGCCGTCGTCGAGAAGCGGTCTATGTAGGAATAATACAAAATTCATTTCATTATACACCATACCCTTGTAGAGGTTGCACTGTTCACAATGGATGTTGGAGGTAAGTTTGAACAGCTGATTATGGTTGGGAGGAATGAGATGAAGGGGG